GCAGACCTGCCTCCCCCACGCCGCTGTTTCAGGCAGGCACGCTGTGCACCCCCCTGCAAGACATGCCTGGGGCGGGGGTCCCTCTGGCCTCACCCCTGCTGCTGAGCCAAAAATAGATGTGGAGGCTGAGAAAGGAAATACCAGGGGGTGAGGTTCCTGAAGGAGTCAGGGAGAGAAATGGCAGCAGATGCTGAAGTCATTAGGCGAGCAGACGCAGTGAAATAATGACATTCCCGAAAAGCCTCTCGCCAGCTGAACAAGCAGCCTCCCAGCCTCGGAGCAGGGGGTGCCCTTAGCCAGGCAACGGCCCAAAGCTGTGAGTCTTGAGGCTGAAATCGCTGGAGCAGCATATCTAGCGCATCGTCAAATTTACCAGCTTATTAGCATTGTCTAAAAATGATCTCCCATCTTTATTTGCAAAAACCCATGGGCGGCAAATTACAGAAAAAAGGGGGCCTGCAAAAAAAACAACCAAAAAAAACACAAACAGCTGCAAATGATTAGGCAAAACAATAAACCCAGTTACTTGCATGCTGCCCCTTCTGTTTGCGGAGCCGTTAGAAGTATTGGCCTGACTTACAGTTAATATGCAGAGATCATTTTCGTAACAGTCCCTCTGTAAACTACCTGACAGCAAAACTGAGCTTTGCCCTGCTTAATGTATATCAAGTGAACTAATGCAGGAAGCACGCACTGTGTGGTCTGCCACATGTCCAGATAAGAGTGGAAGAAAATCAGGGTGTGGATGGACCGTTTGCCCAGAGATCAGAAAGCTCCAGAAGGAGCACATGCGGTCTCTAAATATCGGAAACAGGGGGAGGATATGTGGGTCTCCCCATCTGCGATGATGTTCCTCGGGGACAGGCTGTGCCAGGGGATGACCTGGCAAAACCCAAACATCACTTCTGTAAGCGGAACGTGGGCATGAAACCCCAAACCGCCAGCGCGGGGTAATGCTCCGTAGAGATGCTGCTTCTCTCAGCAGTGGAAGTGGTGGGAGTGGAAGAAAATCAGGGTGTGGATGGACCGTTTGCCCAGAGATCAGAAAGCTCCAGAAGGAGCACATGCGGTTTCTAAATATCGGAAACAGGGGGAGGATATGTGGGACTCCCCATCTGCGATGATGTTCCTCGGGGACAGGCTGTGCCAGGGGATGACCTGGCAAAACCCAAACATCACTTCTGTAAGCGGAGCGTGGGCATGAACCCCAAACCGCCAGCGCGGGGTAATGCTCCGTAGAGATGCTGCTTCTCTCAGCAGTGGAAGTGGTGGGATGAGGAGGGAGCGAGGCTGTGCCTCCACAGGCTGCTCTGGCGGCATCGTGTTGTTGCGCTCCCCCTGACGTGCAGTGAGCTGAGAGGGCAGCCTGCTGCGCAACGGCAGGGATGACCAGTCAGTGCTGAATTAGCCAAGGTGCTAATTCCTTTATTATACCAAAATTGTTGCTCTGCTATTAGCCTTTTGATAGAAAGCTGCTGGCAAAGCGCATCCGACTAAGGTTCTTGCAGTCTTTTGCTGTCTCACTTGGATTTCATGTCCTCGGGGGCTGAACAGCCTCCCCGGTGTGCAGGTTCTGCTGATGCTCTCCCCCTGCCAAACCTCTGTCTCTGCTGGCTGCCGGTCAGGATGCTGCAGCCTCCTCGCTCTGCTGCCGCCGCCGCTGCTTTTGTGAAGAGCTGTTTGCTTGCACTTGCACGTGATTAAAAATCTCATACTTGGAAATGACAGGCTGAGGCTGTAGCAGAAACCAGGAATTAAATCTGCTTACAGTCAGCTCGGGAGGAGGGGATGTTTCTGCGCCTCTGCCTTTGCCTGTGATTCACCGTGCACTGGGAACAAATGGAAGATAAAGGGGTCAGACAAGACAGCCTGGAGGAGGGAAGGACAGAACGGGTGCTAAAGAGAAGCATTTTCTGCACAGTGTGGTAAGGGAAGAAGTCCTAACCTTCAGGAGGGCATGTATTAACAAAAACGAAGTTAGTGATTACCACTCAGGCTGAAAAATGTGATTTCTTTCACCACACTTGCAGAGAAAAATGGTGTTGGGCCACAGTTGCATTGTAATTTTAAGCCAAATAAGGCTAGAAGAAGGGCAAAAAATAAGGTTGGCATAAAGAAACTGAAAGCCTTTTGAGTGGGGAGGTCAGAGGGTTGGAAAGGAAGAGCTTGGCTGTTCAAGCCATATTTTATTTGCAGTAGGGAGTCCATTAATGTGCCCTCTGGAAAGGTGATGGCAGCCCATGCCAGGAGGGGAAGTCCCAGGCTGTCCTGGAGCGGAGCGTGTGCTGCAGTTTGGTGGGGATGGGAAATGGGGAAAAGAAATATGGCAGGGAAAGAATATCTGCAGGGACAGATTGCCCTCAGCCTCACTGGAAAGTTCCCAGAGAGCCTGGCTGCCCCTCGCTGCTCCCCCGCTGGAGGCCGTTGTCACAGGCGTTTTCCATGAGAACAGCAAAAAGCACATCTCCACTGCTCTTTTGCTGATGCTTCAGTTCCTCCACCGCAGGATGAAGATGTTAAAACATTACAAGAAAATGGATCTAGAAAATGTTTCTCACATGTCTTAAGCTCTCCAGTATGTGGCTTCTTAATAGTATCAGAGTAATTTTCTGCTCGGTATTTCTACAAAAGCCCTATGTGGCACTGATTCTCTGTTGTGAAGGATTGCAGCCTCTGGAGGTCTCAATTCTGGAAAAGCTCTAAGCAGCTGAAACAAGGGTTTAATGAAGTGAAATGTGTGTGGCAACATTAGCCGTGACAGCGTTACCAGCTTTGCTGCTGCTGCTGATAAATCCCAAATGCATTTCCTATCCCAGCAAGCTTCAGTGAGATCCTCAAGGGTTTTTCTTTTTCCCCAACACCTGGGTAATGCCACGCATGACTCATCCTCTCTTGTACTGCCAAAGGATGTTCAGTTCTGCAGGAGCGATGCGCAATGTGACCGAACGCCTGGTGTTTGTATCAGCTCTATTCATTACCTGTCAGGTCAGCTGTCTGCTGGACAAAAATTCAGCAACGCTTGCACGGGTGTATCTGCGTGTGGGGTGTGTTTTAAAGAGAACTGTATACCCACATAACCACTTTGGGTAAACAAGCCCAACCTGTGCTTTCTTTTCCAGCTGGATTTTCAGTCAAACTTTTCACTTTTCAGTGTTAACAAAGAGTAGGTGGACAGAAGGGACTCGGTAATAGCTACAGGAGCCCTCACTCGTATCTCCTTTGGTGAACTTCACTGTAGAACTTAAAATGTCACACTTCTTCCGTACACAATTTTTAATTAAAACCCCTTCACTGAAAAGGTCAGGACAGCTTGACTCTCTGCTGCCCATGCACCAATAGCCCGACAGCAGTGAAAGCTAGTAGCAGTAAACAAAATTCCTCCCAACCTGAGAAGAAAGCGCTGAGGACCCTCTCTACCTGGAATAACTAACCAACAGCAGCAGTGACAGCCTGTCCCTGTGTCCCAGTCCTGCCATGTGCCTTGTGAGGAATTGCTACCCGTCGCCCCTGTTCTTGCTGCTTTCTGTATAAATAATACACAGCTTCTCACCTTACCAGTCTTCTCAGCTTTTGCCCTTTAGCACTGCTTCATCTGCTTCTCCCCCGAGATTACAATCTTATTTTTAAGCGTTGGGTGCAATGTGCTTTTGCACTTCTAATATATGGGTGCTGGTGGATTGTCAGATGCACCAAAACCTACTTCGTTTCATTCTCTGGAATCGTGTACATGCGATGAGCTCTTGATTGTTCATCTTTTCAGTGCTAATGTGTTTGGACACTGCACTTGTGTTGCTAAGATAGACACTTCCTTTGTAGAAGAAAATTTTACTTCCGTTGTCAGCCACGATAATTATTGCAGATTCAGCTGAAGCTTCTGAACACATATGTTCTGGTTGATTAAAGTTATGGAGGTATGAACCAAGTCACAGACCACAAAATTTTTTATCAGCAAGGGAAAGAGCACAGCTGTCACCATGTACCTATTGTCAGTGTGCTGGAATCTTTTTTATTCAGCACCAAAGGGACTTCCTCAGCTATGAAAGCTGCAAATGCAGACAGTATTAAGAGGCTGTGAGTTTCAACTGCTGATTTCTCCTTCCAAACTGAAATATTAAATTTATAGAAAAACCTGTCTGACTAGAAACAGACTTTTCACAAAATCCATGGTTGGCTCACGCCTAGATTTTTATTCATTCCATTCAAAAAATAGACAGAACTATAAGGTGGCACATATTGTCAGAGAGTACAAATGTCACATCTTTCTTTATACAGTTTAATTTAAATCCATAGATTAAGACAGTGAAATAATTGCCCTGGGTGGGAAAATAATTAAGGGTCTTCCATGAAAGGACAAGTCTTCAGATAAGCATTTACACAAATGTATCTGGTTAAGCATAACTTTTTCTATCCTCTATAAAAATATAAACAGCATTTCAAAATGTCTTTACGTGAGTATGTTAAGGTCATCTAACATGGCATTAATGTACTGACAGAATATGGGGCCTGGGCATGTCAAACCACATTTAGTAATCCATACCCAGCCAAAACTAAACCATTTTGTGTGAGCTTCGAACACAATATAATGAAAGAAACAATATCAAACCAAAGATACACAAGTATGATGTTCCTCCTCCAATATGAATTCTTCGTCTTTATTTTGTATTTTTTTGTTAATATGGCAATGAATAAGACAAAAGTGGCAGTTTTGCAGAGGTTAATTGTAACTCAGGATCAGGTACAAATTGCTTTTCCCACAAAGTAACATTGCTGGGATGGGACACGTGCCAGGAACAAATTAAGGGCGTTCACTGTCATATATGTTTTACCTGTGCAGTATTACTTTGATACAGACTGTAGCATGTGACAGGAGGGCAAGTGCAAATTACAAGGGCAGAATCTTGGTTTCCTGGACAGCAGAACCAGGTGGTAAAAGTAAACAATATTTTAAAGGCAAGAAGAAAATTAAACAAAAAGCCAACTCATCTAAACTTTAAATAGTGGGATGTAGGGTGTTCCTGGTACAGCTGTCATAAACGCACCCTATGTCTTCCAGGGATGCAACCTGATAAGCTAAACACCTATTTGTTGTTGCAAGGACTTACTGGTTCAACACAGATTAAAATGTTTGAATACACCGAATATACTGGTCACAGGTCTAATCACATAATTTCCCTTTTCCCAATCCTAAATTTGTATTGGAGCAGCTTCCCGATCAGCTGTGTGTCTGTATAGCAGAACACTCGATGTTGTAATTGACTAGCACGTATGCCAACAACAGCTGATATTTTCCAGTTAAAGTGATCTACAAGTGAGAAACAAAACCTAAGGAAAGGGTCAGGTTTCAGATAAAGGTTGGACATTGTGAACCTTAGACAAAGTGACAGGTATCTTGGATTCTCCTGGTGCTGGCGCTTTTGTGACTGGGTTTGCATGGGCTTTTATATCAGCTATTCTCTCTTTAAATCTTTGCTGAAGATACTTTTCTTCTTTGGAGTAACTTTTAGCAAAAGCCGACATCAGCAGACACGCTGCCACGGTGGACCCTCCAACACAAAACAAGATTGCTCCTGCCAGCTTGCATATATCAAGGGACCCATTAAACTGAATGGCACGGGTATCCACCACAACAAAATCATCTTTCCCAAGAGCTTCGATTTTCGGTGGCACAAGAAAACCCACTACAAGAACCGTTAAACCTATCAGCATAAAAGCCGTCCCAGAGATGAGTCCGACCTAGAAAACAAAGAAACAAAAAAAAACCCCAATTAATACTTCTTTCTAGTTTTTAGTTGATAAATGGTCTTAGGAGGCATTTAGCTTTCAGTGTCTTGCAGGCTGATATTTTTCTTTTAGGTCACATGTGGCCCTGCTAGAACTAGATTATATGGAAAAACTGTCTTTTTACAATGCATATTTATATAATTCAGTATTGACACTTCTGGAAACAATGGAATATGCATGTCTACATCTAAATAGCATTTCATGTCCAAAGGACCCAGAAAGCATCACAGTTTAAACCCAGTGCTGTGTGACTATTTCTTTAGCTTTAGTTGGTGGTTAGCACCAACAGTTCAGTCCCTGCTGATAGTCTGCGTCATATCCACCACTTGCTTTTACTCCGGGAAATGTCATTCCTTTGCAGGGATTAGAAGGAAGTTGCTATTGCTGTGAAAACATTGCAGAACATTTCTAGCACATTTGAAGCGTAAGTACAAAATTTGGTTCACACAGAATAGCCCTACCATCAAAGCACAGGGGCTGGACTAGATGGCCTCACAGGCCCCTTCCAACCTCTCGTGTTCTACAGTTCTGTCAAGTTCCCTGACCTTAATGGAGATCTCGTGGTTTTCTTGATCCTTAGGTCACACAGTGGCAGAGTTACTGCTGTTAACCTACCAGTCCTGTTCCCAATCACATGGCAGGACTATTGTGAGTGCAGAGCAAATGTAAACTACGCTTTCAAGCTGTGGGTGGGGTTTCCCACGCAAGACTTTGAGGTTTCAGTGACATGGCTCCTTGCGATACAGACACTAGAGGATCCAAAGATCCCAGAACTCTCTTGCAAGCTAATGTATCTCAGTAAGAGCGCCCTGCTTTCAGACAGATGGTTATTTCATCATCTCAGGGAAAACTCAGCAACAGGCGGCCTTTCTGCATGAATACCTAAAACCATTAGTTACATGGGAAAGTCTTGACATGGGAGTTTCTCTCTCCAGTAAACAGCAATGGGCAATACCTTCCAGAACGTAGAGCTCCACCTGCTAGGCGATCTCTGGATCTGAAAATCATCCTCATACTCCCAAATTGAAGCTGTGCAGTCCTCATAAAACTGATGCAGGTAGGAGCGAACTCCATAACGTTGGTACCCTCCCTCGGTGCTGCCCTGCGCGTGCTTGGACCCGCAGATGTCAGCATAGGAGCTCATCCTTCCTACCTGCAACGAGAGGTTTCATGCAAAGCAGATCGTTATCAACGTGGCAGGAGAGCAAAGCTGGCTACAAACTCTCCAGATGACACAAAGAAAAGCAGCCCAGGAGAGGCCTTTCCTTCGCTCTTTTCCAAACTAAGAAATAAGCCTGGTAGAGTTGCACGCGATGACTCAGCTCAAGTGAACCCAAGGCACTCAGCATCTTGGTGCAGCACAGCCTAAAGGTGCTGCAGGGAACATCCCCTCCCATACCCAGGGTGCCCGCTCCCCATCTTTCACACTAGCGTGCTACTGTGTTTCCATGGAGACTGAGAAAAGCAGAATGTATCAGGTAACAAATGCCAGCATCCTCCAAGGGCTCATGTTGCCTCTCATCCAGATTGCTTCTATCAGTTAGCTATAGAGTTTGCAACCTTAGGAACTTTCCAAACTGCTGGGTAAGGTTTTTTTAATGTGTTTGCCTAAGCTTTTGAAGTGCAGGACTAAACATTGACATAACATTCATAGCCATGAGAAACAGAGGCAAAATAAGTCCTAGACAGATTGAAACTGTCTATATCCTGTACTTAAATATGGATGATAACAAATGAAAGAGACGGAATGCCATAACAGCACCAATCTGCTCACTGAAGACAGTAAAATGGAAATACTAAACTTGTGGCAAGCCACTGCTCCCTTGGAGAAGTCAGTGGCCAAGCTCTTGCTGACCTTAATAAAATCAGAATTTTGCCTGCTATGAAAACTACCAACAGTGTTCCCTAGTCTTTCTACTTCATGGAAGTTCTCCTAACACGCAAAATTTGTATTTAACTATGCAGGTCCCAGGCTTGAACTTCCTAGCACAGGTGCAATGCTACTGAATTCATTGAAGTAATACTAGTCCCTAAAAAACTTGAGCAACAGATCAATGTTACTTAAGCTGACTGACTTCTCTTTAAAGAAGTTCAGAAAGTCTTAGTCCAAAGGGAACTGTTAATCAGTACTTGCATCTGAATGTCACAGCTCAATTTATATCAGCTTCCAGCAGTTCATCTGATTGCCACAGCAATTTTACTTAGAGGGAAGGAAGGAAGGTTTGACATGCCCGTGGCTGCTAGGACCTCCCAATGTTGCAGCCCTACAACCCTTTGCCCTTCAGGAATGGATGATCTTGCTGGGTATGAAATTAAATTTAAATGCATTTAAATTAAGCAGAAGCCAGAAAGTATCAATGAGGAATGGTGATAGCCTGAATGAAGCTCTTGGCTGGCTCCAAAATCACCGCTGGTATAACCGTGATCTTCCAGCCTTTCAGAATCTGGTTGCGTTCTTGGCTCAGGGATAAAGAAGGTTTTGCTTTTTCCTCTTTATAAAACCCAGTAATCTTGGGGTTTATTTATTTTGTATATCTAATATGTATTTGGTTTGGGATTTCATGATCTCAACATCTTGTAATTGCAAATACCTCTCTGGCAACTCATGATGAGGTCTCATGGCTCTTACAGAAGTCGTGGCTGAGTGGAGGAGGCAGCCCGCATGACACTGGAGACCCCAGCAAGGGCCAGAGCTCCCTCCAGGAGACTGGGGGGGACAGTGCTGGCAGCTGACCTTTGCAGAGCAATAGGAGTAGTGCCAGGCACAGCTTCTGGCAGGAGCCCCTTCTTTGAACCCAGAACTGCCGTTGTAGCCCCTGCAGGTTTCCCTTTCCAATTCAGCCACCATAAAGTGTTAGGAAGAAAGAAATGCTCTCTGACTCTGTGGATGGGCTTGCTTTCTGTACAGCGTTAGTGCCCTCTGGAGTGTGTGCTGGCCTTCCCAGGGAAGGCAGAGAGAGAAACAGGCAGGGCGGATGGAGACCTTGAGACAGCAATAAACTTTTGGGCAGCACCAGCTGCTCACCAGGTGAGCAGAGAGAGCCTGGCACCTGGGCCACCACCCGTCAAGCTGTATGTCACTAATGCTGACTTTTCCCACTACAGTTAATATATTGAAAAAAATAGTTTGTTGTGCTTTTTTACATCACTATGCGCTTTTCAATGCTATTACTTTTTGAAGTACAGAAATTATAGTGGTATGGATGTAAGTATATAATCTGAACTTTTGTGGGGAAACACCAGAAATTATTCTACTTTTGGAGCCCGTTTGTTATTTTGCAAAAGAACTCTTGTGCATCCCTCCTTCTGAGAGGAAAAGAAGTCTTTTCTCACTGCCACCATTTCCTCAACAGCTAGCTGCCATCTTCCACAGGACAAGCACTGAAGAGTTCTTGTAAAACCAGAGTTCTTCTCACCTCATTAAAAAACCTTAGGGTGAAAGGAGAGGAGGAAGCAATGGTGTAGCTTACCACAGCTGCCCCAGCTCTCACACAAAGGGTCACACAGGCTGTATCTCAAGCATAAGGACAATTTGTGTCCATATCCCTCAATGTGTCTTTTGGTTATGAGTAAAGCAGCACTCCATCTCCCACATCAGAAAAAGAAGACAATAAAGAGGCCAACCAAAGCTCTGCGGACTCATTCTCTCAGGTCCTTTACTTAGATCTTTATTCTCACATCAACCCTACCTCCTTGAATAAATTACGCTTAACTCCTTGCCAGCTTAAGTCATTCAGGTAAGCATCCTTAGCACCACATAAAAAGCAGAAAGGGAGGTATTTTCCCCAGGTGTAAGAGACTCCATAAGGTCAATACAGGGAAGGACCAGACCTAACATGACCAGATAATGTGGCCTGCCAAAGCTCACTTGCATTACTGCAGCTGCCACCAAGAGACAATTTTAGAGCTGCTTTGGTTTCTCCAGAATTCAGCAAGCAGGCGAAGCACATTGCTGAATCTGAACCAGCAACTGTAGGTATTGCAATTAATTGAAGAAAACTGAATGTAATGTGACAGAAAGCTGTATAAACACTATCTTGCATTCACCGGACTGTCTGTAGGTTTAGTCAAGAGAGAGAAAGGAAGGTGTGGTGTTTCTAACAGCTTGATAAAGAATTGCCTATAAGAACCACACAGCCTGAAATCACTTCTATTACAGATAAGATTCTTTTTCTTGAGCAATCTAAAATGCTAATAGGTGATTTTGGTCAGGCATATGAGCAAAATGATAAATAAGAGCTGGGGGGTGGAATAGAAAACAAAAGAATGATCTTTTGCTTGAAAGAGCTGTGATAGCATCAAGTAGCATGACCTTTTAAAATGGAAAGAAAAAAAAAAAAAGGACTGCCAGCATCATTAATTCTTTTCAAGCACTGCATAATATTAGTCTTACTGAACATTTTCTTTAAGCTTAGACTCTTCCACTTACGATAAGTAATCTCCTATCTTTTGCAAAATACCTTGTCCCTTAGAGAGAAGGGAAGGCGGCATCCCAGCCCTATATGACTCATTGAAGCAGCCTGGTAATTTGGCCTAAGACGGCCTCTTTGCTCAGCTGCAATGTAAACATAATGTTGTTGTTCTTGCTACTTACAGATGGGGCAGAGGAACTGAAACAGTCAGAGTATGGTGGAAGAAAACAGTTCTCTATAAATAAGAGGGAAACGTGTGACAGCATCAATTTACATTGGATGAATAAATACTGCAGTAGCTATGATCTCGAGTGTTGATGTGTATTTCCGTATCTCACCTTCACGGCTGAGAAACTAAATGCTGAAGTGTTGGGAAACTTTTGCTAAAAAGGGAGTCACTGTTACCCAAATCTGCATTACGCATGAGCTTAGAACACGCATCCAGGCCGCAGGAAGTGGCTTAATCATTGAAAGTTTTTCAGTGCCTAAACGCGAGGTGCCTAGGAACACGTGGGATGTATGATCACAGCTTCAGAGCGCACCACTGCGTAGTAGCAATCCATCCCCTAGCAACTTTTGTTTCCATGGCAAAAGCTGTCCTGTTTACTTTGAGCTTTACTATTCTCCACTGATCTGGGGAGATGTGACTGAACTGGTGAACAGGCAGATTAAAAGATGAGCATGCTCCAAGAAAAATTACCCAATAAATTTTCCAACTACTTTATTTTCTTATTGAAGGGCTAGACACATTTAAAAACCAAACCAAACCAAACCAAACCACATAAGGAACTGGCATCTGAAGGACAGGACAAAGCAAATAAGGATGTGCCATTGCTCCACAACACCAGACAGCCACCAAATGTAAGCCACAAATGTGGATGGGTTCACACATGTGAAGTCCCCCTCTCCCTTCTCCAGACTGACGCACTTTGACCCTTCTGCTCAGGGGACCACCTTCCCAGTCTTCACCTAAGGAAGACGAGACCTCTGTGAAGAGCGCATACCAGAATAAACCACCCGTCTCTGACGGCGGTCTCCGAGACGGCCCTTTTGGTGCCTCAGCTCCCTGTCACGACAGCGCCCCGGCCAGAGGCTGTGCCGAGCAGCGCTCGGTCTGACCCATCCCGCCAAGGTCGATGCGAGCCCTCGCGGGGCCACGGCCCCCGCCCAGCGCCGCGCCCTCACACGGGGCCGGGGCGGGGACTTACCTAATCATTT